ACCTCCTGTGTTTCTTCTTTGTGGCACTCTGCATTTTCAGATGGCCATGGCTGCTGCAAGCACCATCTACTTCAGGACACAGAAGGACGCTGTCCCTGGGGCTTTGGGGCTGCTGTCACCCTTCATTTCATGGCAGCCCTGATTGGTCATGCAGTTCTGCTCTAAGCGCCAGTTACCTTTTAAAGCAGTTAGCATTGAGAATAAAGGTCTTCAATGTTTGCTTATGTATTTTCCAGTTTTTGTTCTTTTTTGTACTGACCAAAATTTTCAAACTGGTGGATGGCCCCTTTACGCTCTTAATCCTTTAAGATTATTGCGGGCCTTAAAGAGCTTTTTAAGAAAAGTTTGATCTGATAGTATTTTCCATATTAGGAATTAAAAAAAGAAAAAATTTTTAAATAATTTTAAGTCCTTAATTTTTTTAAATTTATTTTTTAATTGTGGTTGGACACAATATCTTTATTTCTCTTATTTATTTTTATGTGGTGCTGAGAATCAAACCTAGGGTCTCGCATGTGCAAGGCAAGTGCTCTGCCGCTGAGCCCCAGCCTCAGCCCAGAAAATTTAAAACATTTAAAAATGGTAAACATAATTCTTTTTTTTTAAAGAGAGAGTGAGAGAGGAGAGAGAGAGAGAATTTTTTAAATATTTATATTTTTAGTTCTCGGCGGACACAACATCTTTGTTGGTATGTGGTGCTGAGGATTGAACCCGGGCCGCACACATGCCAGGCGAGCGTGCTACCGCTTGAGCCACATCCCCAGCCCACATAATTCATTTTATGTTAACATAAATGATGTTTTTTTTTAAAGTGAGAATAACTGTATTTTCCTAAGGAAAACATTTGAAAGTAGCGATATCTTATATCTTCAGTATGTGGCTTGCTAGGAGACAACTGGATTCTCCTATCCTCTTTTGCATTTAATTGATTATAATATGTTGTATTTCATTGAAGTTTATAAGGAGAACCTGGCTTCACATAGATGATGCAACAGAGAAGAGGGTATTTCTGTTATCTTCTTTGACGTGTGTGCACTTCTGCCTTCAATATCACACCAAAGATTGACAGCAGCAGCTTCCCAAAGATGAATCGTAATGGAGCCTTAGAAACCCATCAGCCAAAAGGACGCACATGCACTGAGCTCACCATTTTAGGGTGTATAGTCGAGTGTGTGGCACGTTTAGAGGTGTGGGGCCAGCCCACTGTCTCAGCAGCGGAGCACCTCACATGCCTGGAGGGAGCCCTGCCTGTCAGCATCACTGCCCAGACCTGGCAGCCCCTGGCTGCTTCTGCCTGGGCATGTGTAGAAGGAATCATGCAGTGAGTGGTCTCTTGAGTCTGCCTTCTGCCCCGTTCCTGTTTCCAAGGCTCACCTGTGCTGTGGCACGTGCCATTTCCCACTGGCCACCTCTGAAGGTTCTTGCTAGCACTTGTTATTTTCTTTTCTTTCTTTTTTTAAATTTTTTTTTGTAATTGTACCCAATAATTTTATTTTAGTTATTTATTTTTATGTGGTGCTGAGGATCAAACCCAGGGCCTTGCACATGCAAGGTGGGTGCTCTACCACTGAGCCATAACCATAGCCCCTTTTGTTTTTTAAATAGCTTTCCTAGAGGGCATGAGGCAGTCACTTTGTAATTAATGACATGGGGCCTCTTCAAGTCCTTACGGGCCTCTGATCTTCTGGTCTTTTGCGGCCTTCGGATCCTGGCCCAGTGGTGAGCTTTCTGCCCTGTTCATCCCCAGTCTTTGTCTTCCTTGCACTCTTCCTTGGTCTTGGAACCAACTCATCCGTGGTTTTGGAACACGGTGTCTGTCCTGTGGAGTGCTGTTTAACCCAAAGTAGATCTCCTAGATGTCACCTTTTGTGGGTGCCATCTAGCTTTGGGTTGTAGAAACAAATGTTCCAAAATTTTAGTTTTTGTTTGAGATTTGTTATTTTATCCAAGCAACAGACTCTGGCAAACGCTTTGATAACAGACATCCTCCATTTCACATCTAGCAGTTGGTGGCTTGACACCGTGTCTGACAGAATTGCAGGGCCTGGGTCACCAGGCACTTTGATTGCCACATAGCAGAGGAGCCGAGGGCCTGTTCCCCATGTGGTCACGTAGGATGTAAAGACATTACACTGAAGAGCGCATTGAGCTTTAGTAAACCCACCAGTGTTTGCTGCTCCCAAGAGGATTGCAGGTAAAATAGGGCAGTTAGTGGGATAGAGTCCAGTGACAGCCAGTGCCATTTCTCTGATTGTGTGGAGGGCTGGCAGTTCTCTTCCTTGGTTCTTCACCATCAGGTGCTTGGCATTTGGTGGGTGTAGTTCTGACCTTGTGCAGACCCTGGACGTGTTTGCCTCGTGTCAGCTGCCTGAGTGTCCGTGTTTCTGTGTCGCTTTCTCCCCCTATGCATAGGTCCTGTGGCACTCTTACTGGTGGTTCTCTCCTGTTCAGAGAGAACTGCTGTTGGATGTGGAATCCTAGGCCGGCATTCTTTCCCCAGGATGAGAGGTGGTTCCTGCTGCTGGAGTATACCTTGGTGTGGGTGAAACTGGGTGACCGTCCTTGCCCAGTTCTGCCTTTGGAAGGCAGTCTTCTGTTCACAGCTCCAGGCCCCAGGACAAGGATGGAGGCACTGACCTCTCATTCCCACCCTCCACCCCTCTGGCTCAGCTCCCAGGGCCCAGGTTGCCCATCACCCTTCTTTCTGAGCTTTCTTCTATCTCCTTTGCCCTGGGGGTTTCCAGCTTTTAAATTTTCCTGGTCTGTGTGGTTCAGAAATACAGGCAGATGTTTAAATTGCCAAATTTAGTCTCCTCCTTGGTGATTTTTTGTAAATAACAATTATATTTTCCTTTACATGACCATTTCTTTGGAATTTTGAAATTAATTTCCACTTTAAGTTGGAGGATATGCTTTTGTATTTGTTTCCTTTTTGCAGTACTGGGGATGTAACCCAGAGCTGTGCATGTGCTAGGCAAGTGTCTACCAAGAGCTGTGTCCCCAGCCACCCCTGCCTTTTACTTCACTTTGAGATAGGGCCTGGCTAAGCCACCCAGGCTGGCCTGGAGCCTGTGAGCTCCTGCCCCATGCCTGGCTGCTTGGTACTTTGTACAGTGGTTCTCTTTTTCAAAGATTGAGCATTTATTTCAGGTTTGTCTGTCTGGATTAGATATAATCCTGTTTATAAGACTGAGATTTGTCTTTTTTTCTGCTTTCTAATCCATGTTTTCTTTACATGTTATCGAGATTCCCTGTGTCCTTCCCTTGGCTCTCAGAGCAGCTTCTTTCTCATTGCTGTGATTTGCAGGAGTAGGGTGTGCTCCGGTCTGGGGATGACTAGCCCTGTGCCTTCTGCTTACAGCTTGGACCACACCCCTAGCGTGGATACACGATTTTCCCTTCTCATCTCATCTGTGCAGTTGGGGGAGGAGAGAGTACGCATGTCTCTAGTTTTTAATGGTGTATAGCTCAGCTTTTAGCGTGAAATTTGCTGAGAGTTGTTTCCTGGTGGTTAGGTCAAGTGGGACCTATGCCCAGTCAGGCCAGCCTGTCCTGAGCACACCTGCCGAAGGTGTTGGCTGTGTGTGCTGAAGGACAGCCTTGCACTGGCACCAGGAGGCATGTGAGTCTCCTTGCCGAGGCTGGCTGACATTATTATCCATGGCCAGCCTTGGGTCACGTGAAACCCCTCCATCTCTGTGTCTGTGTCATGGGGCTCTCTGGGAGGGAAGATGGAGGTGCAAGTACCAGGGATGTAGAAGCCTCCTTCTTAACACATTCTTCTTCTACTTCAGGTAAATCTTAAAATGAGAGAAATAACAGAGAAGGAAGTTAAATTAAAACAGCAATTACTGGAAAGTCCAGCTCATCAAAAGGTAAAGAGCAAATTTAATTTCTCTGGAATGCACTGTTATTGTTAATCCTAGTTTTAAAGAATTTGACCTGCAGCTACTACTTGCTTATTCTTGTAACTCACCAAAAATGAAGCCAGCCTCTTGGATTCTCCCAGCAGCCTTGTTCTCAGTGCCTCGGTGAGGGCTGACCATGGGCGATTTGTCTCCCTTCCACCCATCCCTGGAAAGGGGTCGTTGTGCTTTGCCTGCAGGAGGGTGCAGGTGCACTGGGTGCGGGTGGGGGAGCTCTGAGTCAGGGGTGTAGGCTTTCCTGGGAGTTAGCTTCTGAATATCAGCAAAGGAGGAGAGACCGCCCAGTGCCAGCGGTGCCTCTGTAGATCCCCGAGGTGGCCCCTGGGGTATAGTGGGACTGGTGGCTGTCTGGGAAGCCTGGTACCAGGTATCAGGTGGCAATGTGTGTGTTGAAGAATGGTGCAGATGGGCATGTCACACGATCTGGGCATTAGTCTCTTACCCTGGCGTCATTTTCTCTTCTGCCAAGCACCTGTGTGGTGAGTCTGCCTTAGTTAGGTGTGTGCACGATGCCACCAGCCTGTGCCATCTCCCCCTGGAGAGCCAGGTCCTGCCTCCCCTCATGAGCTTTCTCTCCCCACGACCAGCATTACACACGGGCTGTGGCCAGGCGCCTCCCTGGTCTGGCTTGTGGGCACCGTGCCTCCTTGGCCCTCAGACGTGTGCATGTGTAGACACAGACCAGGTGCTCCCCATTTGGAGTGGACTTCTTGCCTTGGTGCCCAGCCCTTCCCAAGTGCCAAGGCATTCTTTGCAAAGGTAGCAGAGTGTGTCACCTTCCCCTTGAACCGCCTGGGTGATGTGGTGTGCTGAGGTCCTGTCCAGTGGAAAGCTTTGACTCACTGAGGCTGCCCCACCCCCTCTGCCGGGTGGGTGCCGTGTGAGCGCGCCTGCCGCCCATGGACCTGCTCTCCTGACGCTCCTCTCACCTTCCTTCCTGCTTCCTGAGCAGTCTCCCTCCAAGTGGTATTGGAAGTTAGTGCCCGTAAGTGCTCCAGCCTCAGCTGCCACTGAGAGCATCCTGTTGCCATCACGCGCTTCCATAGAGCTGCTCGCACCCAGAACTGTTCTGTTTTTGTTTGTTTGTTGATTTAAATGTCCACGGGGGGTGGTTCTACTCTGTAGTGAGCAGGGTGGCAGTGTGGCACTTTGGAGCCCAGCTATGCTTCTCCCAGTCTCAGTGGCTTCTGTAGGTGGACAGTGTAGTGTGACTGACACAATGTGTCCCTTCCTGATAGACACAGAGGTGGATGATGGCCCACTGGCCCTGTTGCTTTTCGTAGGTCACACGTCCTTCCCATGTTCCCTTGTCTGATGGGGCTCAAATGTGACACCTCAAGTGTGCCTGCGCTGGGTTGTCTGCTTGGGATGATGGCTCACTTGCAGGGTGCAGGTGGACAACAGAGAGGGCTTTCCCAGTATTTCTGTTTCTCTGTTGTCCTCCTTGTGGCCTTCTCCCTGGGAATACAGGCAGAGAGGTGTGCCTGTATTCCCAGGCAATGATCTGAGTTAGGTCAGCACAGATGCGGGCTCCTGGAGTTGGGTGACTTTTCATGTGAGAGGAAGAAGCCAGTCACCTTGTGGAGTAGGAGTCAGTGATCCAGCTGAGGGCCGCCTGGTGGCCTACTCTGCAGAGGAGCCAACCTGCTGCCTGCCCTTGTTGGTGCTGTGGCACTGGGTGGAGCCTGCCCCTGAACTTCTGGACACACAGCTTTCTTAGTTGGCCTCTCTGAGCCCCTTCGGCTGCCTGTGTGCTATAGCTTCATTATTTGGCCCCGATTATCTTGGGCCTCCCTAAGTGGAGGACCTTGCTGTTCTCTGGATGTGTTAAAGAGGAGGGAGAGGAAATCACCCTATGGAGGCCTGCATCTCTCTCAGCTTGATCCAGAAGTGGTTTAGGCATGGGCTCACATGGAGCTGTCCCACGAGGAGTGCCGCCTCTGATGAGTTTCATGGAAACAGAAACACATGACTAAGAGCAGTGACCCTGGAGGTTTCCCTTAGTGGAGAGCTTAGTACCATCCTCCCTGATGTTGGTGGGTGGCAGCAAGGAGAGGTTGGGTGAGGATGGGCAGGAGGAAGGTTTGCCTTAGTACGGGCAGCCTGAGGTTTGCAGAGCCGGGTCTGCACGGCTGCAGCGGGAGACAGTGCGCCGCCCGCTTTCACCCATGCCTCCATCTGTAATCGAGAATCCATCTGCTTTGCTGCATGCCGTGCCCACTGCGTGTGTGCTGCCTTGGAAGCCTGGCCTGGAGCATGCCATTGCACACTGCATGCTGGAACCCGCGGACTTTGCACGTGTGGTACAGTATGAGGCGGGTGCCTGTAGGAGCAAGTGCCGGGGGCTCCGAGAAACAAGTTAGAGTGTGTGCTGGCCGTTCCATGGACATAAAACAAGCCTTACCACTAAATTTAAAAGAATTCTTTAGCTCCCTAAAGAACATCGGGAGCTTGGGACATTTTATGCTTGGGACAAATACTGATTGATACTCTACACAATATACTTACCAAGATATCAACTCGAAATTTCTAGATTGCCGAAACAGTTCTCCAAGTTGGACTCATCTGCAGAACTCTCAGAAATCCACAGTCCTTATTGTAGACAGCTGGGTTTCTTCCTCTAGTTCTCCCTCTGGAGAAAATGTGGCCAGCTGGAAATGCTGTGCATTAACGCTGCACTGGGCTGCTGACACAGGAGACGTGAGTGCACTGCAGGCCCTTTTACTGACTGGCCATGCTCAGCAGATGGGGGCATAGAGCCGAGGGACTCGCCTGCTATGGATACCTGGCACGTGGTTCCTCTGAGTGCAGAAGTGTGGGAGCCTTGACCAAATGTTTGTTTTATGAACACCTTGCACGGATTTAGTTTCCTGATGCTTTGTTGTATTTCTTAGAGTGGTTGATGGTTGCATTATGAGAAATTTTGTCTAAACTGGTTTCTGGAATTTCTCTGACACTATAGTAATGCTGATTTTTGGTTTTAGTAATGACCACAGTTCACGCTGCTAACCTTAGGAAAGTGACGAGCTCGCTCTTCCAAGCATCAGGACATTCACCACTTAACTTGTTTCTCGTTGGTTTGTCGCTATTGGCTCCTGGTAGTGTAGACGTGCCTCCTGCCTCTGTCATGGTGTGCCTGGTGCAGCGGCAGTGTAGTTGGATTAGCCTTGGCAGCGCGAGCCTTCATCGTTGCCACCATGCACAGTCCTGGGTGGAGATGTGGACAGGTGTCTGATCGTGTGGGGTCCGGATACTGGGCTCTCACGGGGAGTACCACTGCTGTCCTGTCTCCAGTGCCCCGTGGGTCCTTGCTGCAGCAGCGTGCCTCCCGCGAAGACCCTTCTCCTTCTGTCAACTGCAGGTCCGCTATCGGCGAGAACACCTCTCGGCTCGGCAGGCGCCCTGCTTCCCGTTGCTGGAGGACTTGATGCGAGACGGCAGCGATGGGGCTGCTCTCTTGGCGGTTGTCCACTACTACTGCCCAGAACAGATGAAGCTGGACGGTGAGTGGAGCACTTCCTACAGGCCGAGGTGTGCACCTTGACACCAGCTGCTGCTCGCAGGCAGGGCTCCGGGGAGAGAGCACATGTGGACAGTGTCTGGGGACCGTTCCAGGCCTGGGTCTCACCTGAGTTGCGATGCAAGCTGGAGACCCTTCCTCTAGCTGACCTCAGACAGCTCCAACTTGGCTTGAGGACGCAGAGTTCCCTGCCAGGTTCAGCCTGTTTACCAGTCAGCTGGTGGCCTACGGCGGGTAGAGGAAGAAGCAGGTAGCGATGAGTGGCAGGGATGGTTGTCTATCAGGGTGCTCTGGGGACACAGATCCTAAACGATTGGGGTTTGCCAAGTGCCCTTCTTTCTGGAACAGACAAGCAGAAGGCCAGGGGCAAGCCCCAAGCAGCGCCCACAGGGAATATCTCAGTGTCAGCCCTGAGTGGCGTGGTGCCCTGTGGGAGTATGGGTGTGCCATGTAGTAGTCTTTTTTTTTTGATACTGGGGATTGAACCCAGGGTGCTTAGCCACTGAGTCACATCCCCAGCCCTTTATTTTTATTTTGAGAAAAGGTCTTGCTAAGTTGTTAGGAGCCTAAGTTGTTGAAGCTGACCTCACACTTAGGATCCTCTTGCCTCAGTCTCTCAAATCACTGTGCCATAGGCATGGGCATATGGCATAGCACCTGGCCATATAATATTCTTTTTACACACAGAATCACCTCATAGACACAGAGCTGCCTTTTTTTTTTTTTTTTTTTGAGATGGGGTCTTGCTGTGCTGTCCAGGCTGGTTTAGTCTCAGATTTGTAAGTTCAACTGCTCCTATTGCTATAGCCTCCTGAATAGCTGGACCACAGATGTGTGCTCTGGGCAAGATGGAGCTGCACTTGAAGGGCTGAGAGGCCCCTCTGCCTCCAGGGAGAGCCCACATGTGGGCCAGGGGGCAAGGGGGGTGCCTCAGGGAGAGGGCTAGAACAACCCTAGGATCACCCTAGGAGGCTCCCCAGTGCCATCTGGGTCAGGAGGAAGTGGGTGGGAAAAAGGCTGAGGCACTTTGCTCTGTGGTGTGGGTGTCTGGGGAAAGGTGGGTGTCAGAAGTGGCCGGGACCAGGGGGAATTCTAGCATAGAGCTTCCCCTCTGAAGCCACACAAGGAGATGGTTGTCCCCAGGCTCAGCACCAAGACAGGTGGGAGAGAACAGAAGGTGTGGCTTGGTGACGGATACAAAGGGCAGAGCGGAGAGCCTAAGGAAGACACGGGGATGCTCAGCGGCCTTGCTGGGCCTCCTGTGCCTCGCCAGAGCACTTTCGCCCTCACTCTCCTACCCAGGGCAGTGCCTTCTTACCGCAGTCTAGCTGGGCACAAATCACTAAGCTGCCACAAAGCATTTGTATCTACAAACAGGAAACTTTATTACCTGAACTCCAACAGCATTCCATGCACACTCCCTGGGAACTCTCCCGAACGCCACCCACGCGGCTCCTTCAGGAACACACCACACACCAACCGGAACTCCCTCCACCGGAACTTCCCCAACCAACATGAACACTTCAGGAATCCCCATGAGAGCTCAACTGGAACTCAATGCGAACTCTGCGAGAACTCAAAAGTCATCATCTTAATGGCTCACTGGCGTCACCTCTCAACCACTACTTCTAGCAATAATGCCATGCGTCATCCCGACTTGGCTGTGGCCCTTAAAACCTTCTCAGCTCTATCTTCCAGACCGCTGACCCGGTTCTTCCTGAAGGACGTAGTGGGGATGGGGTTGTGGTTGGTGGTGAACAGCGCAGGGTGGCACAGCCGTGCTGAAGCCCAGAGCAGCTGGGAGCAGAGTGTCAAGATGGTGAAAGCAACAGCATTATAAGGAGTAGCCCACAGGTCCATTTGCGGCATGATAGACGCTGAAGAGACACCGTCAACAGCCATCGTGGAGTGCGCTTTTTAAAAATAAGCAGTTGAGGGCTGGGGCTGGGGCTCAGTGGTAGAGCACTTGCCTAGCCTGTGTGAGGCGCTGGGTTTGATTCTCGGCACCACTTACAAATAAAAATAAATGAATAAAATGAAGGTCCATCAACAACCAAAAAACAAAGCGGTTGAAGTGCATATGCAGGCACCTCTAGAAGATGACCTTGATGGAGCCCACTGAAGACATGGCTGCAGACCTAGTGACACCAGAATACCCCAGCAGAACATGGGAACCAGCCGCACAGGTGTGGCCTGCTCCCAGGCTCCTGTGATCCCAGTGGAGTGGCCAGCGTAGGCTCTCCATGGGCAGGTGTCCTCCTCTGCTGCTTTGGTCAGGCTCCAGCATTGATGTGGTGCCTGGGCAGATGGGTGTGGGGCAGATACTTGGAGTACGTCAGCACTCCACGACCTGTCAGACAGGAGGAGCTGTGCCCTCTGCTGCGCATTGTTAGAAGGAAGCAGCTGGGAATTCACGAGCTGGGTTCACCGTGGTGCACAAAACTTCCCAGAGAAAGTTGTAGAGAAAAAATGGAAGTTTTCCTAATCAAAAGTGACTTCAGAACAAGGAGAATGAGGAACTGAATCGCACCTTCCCTCTTGGATGAAGCCAGGGTGCATCCAGACTCCTAACAGCAAGTCACCGACCAAGAAGCAGAAGAGAAGGGCAAAGGAGCCCCAGCAGGGAAGAAGGGAGGTCACCAGAACCCTAGGGTGGCCAGTGAGAGCACCAGGGCTGCACAACAGAGGTGACTCTGCCGCCTCTGGCCTCTGACCCCAGTGCAGGGCAGGCACAGGTAAGGGGGGACACTGAATCAGACGTTTCTGTGACGTGCTCCCCACATCTCGCCTGCTCTGCCAAGTCTCCGTTCCTTGCCTGGCTCCACGGGACCAGTATGTGCAGTGGGGAGGAGTCTTCTCTGTAAAAGCTGGCGGGGGGTGACTACCACTAAGGACCTGCAGTTCTCTGCCAGGAGCTGGCGCCTGCCTGGCACCTGCAGCCAGGCCTTCTTCCTGATGCTCCTGATGCCTTCCTCTCCATCCTCCTGTGGCTGGTTACCACAGGTCCCCTGATGTTTGGGACAGGAGGAGATGCAGTGGCGAGGGACAGAGACCCAGGAGTGGAACAGATGCTGGAAGGAGGGTCTGAGTGTCACAGACTAAGACTAGAGCATGTCCAGAAGCAGACTCCAGAGAACTCTGGGAAGGGACATGCTTGGCTGCAGAAATGTCAGAGTTCACTAGTAAGCTGCATGACACACTTGAAAAACTCTCCCAGAAGTGGAGCCAAAGACAGCCATGAGGGCAGGGAGAGGAAGTTCACAGTAGGTGTAGGGAGAGGAGGAGAGGATACAGAGGAGCCAGCCGGGGAAAGCCCAGGGTGCACTGGCAGGGCTTAAGGACCCAGGACCTCGTGGTTATGAGGGCCACAGCACGCAGGCCGACACCCATGAGACGGGATGGGAAGACAGCAGTGGCAGTCCTAGAGTGAGACACCACAGTGCCCCAGAGCCAGAGGCTCTGATGGTTTGTTGTCAAGGGGAGGAGGGAGGTTGCAGGAGCACCAGCACAGGCTGGAGCGTCCCCCAGGGAGCGTGTAGACCCGGCCAGGCAGGACACCCCAGAGCAGTTGCAGCAGGACCCAAGCAGGTGCTGTGTAGCTAACCTGCGGGAAGGGAAGCTCCCTCTGGAGCTGACCACCACCCTGCAGGGAGCCTTAGAGATGCCCCTCCTCCTGGGCCTGGCACTCTCACCAGGACAGCACAGTGGATATAGTCTGCTCCTCCATGCCAGGTTGGGAGGCAGAGTCACTTTTTAAGCTTAAAAAAATTCTCCGTGGTTTAAGACTTTGTGTACCATGTTAAAAGTGAAAAATTTTTAAATTAAAGCAAATTCAATAGCAAAATAATAAATTATTAAAAAAATTTTAAGTTCTAAAGAAAAATATGTAAACTAAAAGCTTGTTCTTTATTTTGATACTGGGGATTGAATTCAGGGGCACTCGGCCACTGAGCCACACCCCTTTGTGTTTTATTTAGAGACAGGGTCTCACTGAGTTGCTTAGTGCCTTGCTTTTGCTGAGGCTGGCTTTGAACTCATGATCCTCCTGCCTCAGCCTCCCAAGCTGCTGAGATTACAGGCGTGCGCCATTGCTTTTTTAAAAATGTGGTGGCAAGGATTGAACCCTGGGCCCTGTACATGAAAAGCAAGCACTCTACCAACGAAGCCATATCCCCTAAGGATTTCTTTTTTCTTTTTTTGTGCTGGGGATTGAACCCAGGGCCTTGTGCATGCAAGGCAAGCACTTTACCAACAGAGCTGTATCTCAGCACCCGCCCCCC